CGAACTCGAACTGATCGATACGCACTGTGCATCCACTTATATAGCTGCAGTGCTTGCCTGTGGCGTAATGAGTGCCACGTCACAGTAGGACGTTGATTACGGTTACGTTAGCGTTGCGCGTTACGTCACCGCGTGACGTCACCACGGAGGGGCGTCGCGGGGAGCGCTACGTTACCGTGGAGAGGAGGGTGGAGGGGGGTTCTCAGTCGCGCAACATGTTACAATATTGTACATTTAAATAAGAATTAAGTGTGTATTGTAAATATGTGTACATACAGACAATGGACTTATTAATACAGACTGACTAACAAATGACAGACCCGACCTCCCGTCAGAGAGTGCGCTACACATGGACAAGACAGCAACTTTCATTCAAAAGAAATATCTGGTCATGAGCCCCAGCTGGGGCTCGACGCCAAGACAGACAGACTGACCGATCGTCAGTTGTAACATGACCCTGACCTTGGGTATAAATTCCGTGTCTCTTTGGTCACAGCCGTCACAGCTGCCTGTTTGACACTTTCTGAAAGGGGTGACGGTTGTCTGCCAGACGCTGTGGGGATGCTCCCACATCGGCATTAAAAATATATACTAAAGATTTCTTTATGTATTGTGAACATCTCTTGGCTAAATATTCTGGAATTATTCAAAGTCTGCAGATGGTTTACCTCTTTAATTCTTTATTACGCTCTCTATTTCAATTTCGGTAATAGGGAGCCAAAACATTGTGTTCATCTGATATTGAATCCTCTGTTGTGAGGTTTGTACTGGGGAATGGTTTGTATTATTCGCTAAGAGATCTTCAATGCTTTCAATAAAAAAGGAATTCTACATGTCTGCTATTTTTTGTTGACTGGATGTTTCCTCACTTCCATTCTTTAAACTAGTTATATAGTCACCCTGCCTAAAACTTCCAGTTAATTTATTTATTATTTGCCAAATTGCCTTCGTTTTATTATGTGACCTTAACATAAAGCTATCATTTTCTTTTCTTTTAGCTTCTGTTATAACACTTTTATAAATTTTCTGATATCTATTAATGTATTCCAATATATCATTTGATATATTTGTATTTTTCTTTAAAGTGTTTAAAGTCTCATTTTCTTACTTGAAACCTTTATCCCCTGGGTAATCCATTTAATTTCATTATGGTTTTTCTTATAAACTGTATTTAAAGGATAAGATCTTTCAAAATAGTACAAAAATCTGTTGAAAAAGTATTGTAAGAGGTATTTACTTCATCATATAAAGAACATCTTCCCAGGATTCCATCTCAAGTAGATCGTTGAATTCTTCTATATTCCTACCTGAAAACTGTCTTCTTGTTATTTTTTCCCATCCTGTTTTAGGCTTATTTACCTTTATATATAGTATCTGTGTAAGATGATCGGAATACCCCAAATCTAACACTTCCGTTAAGTTTTTATAGTATACCTTATCTGTTATCATAACATCTATTAATGATACTGAGTTTTTTGTGACCCTTGTTGGAGATGTAACTGTATTTATCAAGTTGTACGTTTCTAAAAGATTCAGTAATGCACTAAGTTGTGTACTATCTTGCAAAAAATTTATATTCCAGTCACCGCACCGAATTAATTTCATACCTTTCATTTGCACTTTAAAAATCACCATTTCTAGCTTCTCCAAAAATGTGTAAAAGTCACTATGTGGTGATCGATAAATGCAAACTAAAATTAGCTTAAAATCCACTAATTCCACTTCAGTCATCTCAAAATCATTTTCACTACCCATGCTTCTTAAATAGCTTACTTCTTTTGCTTGTAAATCCTTACGTACCCATATACACGAACCTCCACAATTTCAACTAACTCTACTAAAATTTTTTATTAATTTATAGCATTCAATATTTAATGTTCTCATTTGTTCATCATTTAGCCAATGTTCTGAGAAACATAGGATATCTAAGTCTGTAGACTCTGTATCTAATAAAACAATTAACTCCAGTAATTTATTTCTCAGACTCTGAACATTATGGTGTAATATTAATAACTCATTTGATGTTAAAACCTGTCTCTTGCCAACCTCACTAGTCACTATTTTTATTTCTTGTTGGGGGCTACCCGTAAAAAATCCTCACTTCTTTTTTTAGGTAATCTGCGAGGTCTTTTTGATAGAACCGATGCTTGCACCACTTCATCTTCCCTAGGTTTATTTTTTCCTTTCGCCGATTCTTGTGGTTTGTTTGTCCATGGAATATGAGTCCCTTCCTCTTCCTTCCCTTTAATTATGATTTGGTCAGACTTTTCCTCCCTTCCTTCTGGCTCACAATACTTAAAGTTATCTTCATCCAACACAAGGCATTTTATCTTTCTCATCTGTCCCTGATGAGACGGTATAGACCGTATGACCGTATAGACCGTATAGACAGTCGTCTTCCGGATTATGAAAATGCGTAGACTCGTGGGCGAGCCCAACAATTATGAGGAATATTGTGCTGCCATCTGGAAAGAATTTGACGTACTTCCTATTTGTATCCAAATTTTCACACAGCTACATTTCATGTCTTTCAGTATGACCAATCAATGTTAGTAATTGCCCGCTTATCGATAGTTCAACGTCGTTTGTGGAGGTAATACGTATTGACGGTATTGACTGATAAGTTAAACACGTTGAACACGTTGAAGGAGAGGTTAGGAGGGTTTATGTCGCTTATGTAGTGTAAGTTAGAGGAAAGGAATGGCTTTTTACGATAACAAACATTGGCTTCTGTCACACATTCGGAATTCTTTTATATCATCGGATGATACAGGTGCTTAATATATTATATTGAAATTATCGAACCGGCATTCACACGTAGTTGGGTTATAATTTTCGATTTCTGTTTTGTTTCTAGGGATGTGCGAGTTGGTAATGGTAGGCGAAGATATACCACGGAAGCTTGCCAATGTGAACAAGTTTGATTGTTATCCAGGAGTAGATGAGAGTGACGATGAAGAAGATGAAACTGATGTTATGGGACAGTCGTTCGATATACAGTCTGGTAAAGATTTTAAGAAGATTATGTATTGACATTGCAGCAAATGACCATGTGTTGATGTTACATCGTGTGAAATTAAATCCATTTAATTGGTCTCATTTCAGATATAGATTTTGGTATTCATCGCCAACGTTCCAATACCGCTCAGCGTCTTGAGAAAATGGATGAAGACCGCAAGAAAACTAGTAGGATTAAGCATATAAAGTGGGAATGGAGTTCAGCTGTTTTAACAGGTATGACTGTTCATTTGTTACATAAAGCATGACCATAAAAATGAGGCCAATCTTATTCAAAGGAACATTTGACAATTTTTTATAAAGCTCTAATTTTTTTTTGAAGACCACAATGGAAATTCTAGTTATTTATTAAACTGGTACAGTGGTAAGATTTAATTACAATAAACAAATGTTGGAAATTATTAAGGTTTACATGAATTTGACCTCTATTGTTTTGTTATATGTTAATGACTTGCAAAATGCAATATCTGATATATCCAATCCAGTTTTATATGCTGATGATACTAGTTTGATAATTACGAAACCTGACTCTCAGATGTTTGAAAAAAATATAAACACTGCCATACTGCAAATAAATAAATGGTTTTATAGTAATTTATTATTATTAAATTTGGAACAAATTATTTCCTTCAATTTGTAACTAAAAACTGTAATGGAACAGGTCTTTATATACCATATGAGCATAAAGACATTTCTAGTATACATAACATAAAATTTCTAGGATTAATGATTGATAATAATTTATCATGGAATTACCATGTTGAATAAATAATGCCTAAATTAAATAGAGCATGTTATTTAATTAGATTCTTGAAATCACTCTTGTCTCTCGAGTCATTAATGATGGTTTATTTTTCATCAGTTCACTCAAGTATATCATATGATATTATATTTTGGGGCATATCAACTCATAGTAAAATTATATTTAAAATTCAGAAAAGAATAATAAGAATTATGGGTTCTAGTAGTAGGGACTCCTGCCATGATCTGTTTAAGAAATTACATATTATTCCACTCCAGTCTCAATATATATTTTCTTTATTTATGTTTGTTGTTAACAGTAAAGACTTTTTTTAAAACAAATTCAGATGTTCATGGCTTTAATACAAGATTTAATTATGATTTACATTTTACAGTAGCAAATTTATCAATATTTCAGAAAGAAGTTAGTTATACAGGTATTAAACTTTCTAATTATCTTCCTTTGACTCTTAAACAACTCGTAAGTGACACTTCTAAATTTAGAGCAGCCCTAAAGAGAGTTCTTCTCACAAATTCCTTCTACACCATAGAGGAATATTATTGTTGGAAATAAAGATTTAGATTTTTTCATTTTTGTTGCTGCTGTTCCATAAAAGGAACATTTACATCGTCTGTGCAATTGTCTACAGAGCAAACAATTATGGATGTGACTGGATAATTATGACTGAGAAGTAGGAGTGTGGAACTCATGAGAATGATGAATTTGTTGTGAAGTTGTTGACTGAAGTAAGGAATAAGAGAGTTTTAATAGCAACAAGTACAAATAGATTGCTTTAAACCATAGATTTTGATTTTTAATTGGTATATTGTGTCAGAAAGTGTTGCCGCTTCTTTCTCAAAGCTGGTCGCAGGTTGTGTTCCAAAAATGAACAGTAATACTGCGCATTGACGGTCTGCTGTCAGGGAACGGTATGATTTAGGATAACATCATCACGGTCGTACAAGAGAATCACCATAACTTCCACATTGCTGGGGTTCTGACAAACTTTTTTTTTTGTGGTGACCTGTAATGATGCCATTCGTTCGATTGGCGTTTCATTTGTGACTTGTACGATTTGGCCCATGTCTCATCCAGTGTAATGATATGGTGTAAGAAAGCCTCTCCTTCGCGCTCATAGTGCTCCAAGTGGTTACGAGCAGCTTCATATCGTAGCTATTTCTGCATTTCCGTCAAATCATACGGAATCCATCGTGATGCAGTTTTTCTCATGCCCAGGAGTTCATTCAGAATGTGAAGCACAGTCGTATGCGCTAATCCTGTCTCTTGGGCCAGCTCATGAATCGTATGGTGTCGATCACTCTCCAGTAACGCAGAAAGAGCATACACTTCTTCTTCACTGACACTAGGACGACCTGGCCGGTGCGTGTCTGCCACATTTTGGCATCCCTTGTTGAAGGCTTTTACCCACCTTGCCACTGTTCTGTAAGGCAATGCAGATTCCCCGCAAGCCTCTTGAAGACCCTGATGACACTTGTGCTGTACGGCCTCTGGCACATTCAGTCTTTAACCAACTCCATTGTTCCATTAGACCGCCAGCTAACACGAGGCTCTGTTCTTCTCATCACTGCGCATGCGCATGATATGGGAAGGGAAAGTCCATTTGCACTGAGGTAAGGTAGGTATGTAACTAACGTGTGGTATAAGCAACATTATTTGGTTCTGTTGCATGGCGTCTCTACAGCAGTGTTGCCACTATTAAAGTTCCAACCCTCGTGTGCATGTGTGTGTGTATATATATATATATAATGAAATTTAAGTCATTTTGCTATTGCTTATGATACACGTAGTATATTCTGTGACAGGTTCTATATCTTGTGGTCTTGTACCAATGAGCTATTGTTGAATGCAATTAATAAATGTAAATTATTCATTTTTTGCTGAATTTTGCCTTCTGCCATTTAATTGATCAAGCTGGACATAGTGTTAACTGTATTAGTTCTTTAAGCTCAAAATATAGAACTTAGCATTAGATATTAATACCAATTAAGGGAGACCCTTGTCATCACAACATGGTGCATTTTGAGGTTCAGATTGGAGGGGACAGCATCCTGATGCGAAAGATGGAAATGTAATGAATAAGTAAGTGCACACAGTCAACAAGTTTTGAACAAGGGGACAAGAACAATTGACAGCACAGAAACTAATACTCGTATGTTATGAAATGTTATACAAGGCCTTGGGCTTTGACATATTCTTTAGAATGACCTAAGTAGCATAAATGGATATTGGATTTTGGAGTTGGAATGTGAACAGCCTCTGTATATGGGGTTCAGTGAAAACAGTGCTAAGAGAATTAGCAAAGTCTGAGGAGGTCAGGAGGTACATAGCAATAATGATATTATAAAGATCCCCTTCATAGCATGCAGTGGGTTAATCAGTGTGTTCAGAGTATTGTGAATGATATATTGATTAACAATTTTTAGCAGTTGAGGGCCTTGACAATAGCCAAAAAACAGTGTTATGGAAAAAAACCGCCTAGATGTTACCTAGATCACAGAGGTGGTCAAAATTTGATCTTTTACGGTGCTCAATAGCAATTCTTAAACTACATGAATTCATTCTTTAAAGGGGGATTGGTGGGGACTGTCATTTATAAGTCTGGTAATTAAAACAGTGTATCCTTAGAAGTATATGAAACATTGTTTTTCCTGTTTCCAAATTAAAACAGCTACAGATAACAGTTGAGCAGCTGGGATAGCGTAGTCAGCATAGCAACCAGCTACAGGCTGGACAACCAAGGGGTCATGTTTTGAGTCCTGGTAGGGTGAAGAATTTTCTCTGTTCCATGTCCACCCAACCTCCTATCCAATGGGTATTTGGGGCTCTTTTCCTGGGGGTAAAGCGGCCTGGGCGTGAAGCTTACCACTTACCTCCAGTTATTGCCCAGGTCAAGAAAATGTAGACCTATACATCCATTCCCCCATACGCTTCCGTGGTGTAGTGCTTAATTAAGCACATGAACAACTTTTTCTTTTAATTTTACAGCTAATAATTTGTTGACAATAATCAGTTTTCTGGACATTATCCATTGCTCTAATTTTTATTTCATACAACATTATTTGAGGGACACAGTGGCGTAGTTGGTTGATCCACTATGCTACAAGCTGGAAAGTTGTGGGTTCAATTTCCAGTGATGTCACTGGATTTTTCAGCTGACCTAATCCTTCCAGACCTACTGTGGCCCTGGGGTCAACTCAGCATCTAACAGAAATGAGTAGCAGGGATAAAGGGTGGCCTATGTGTAAGGCTGATCTCACCGCCATCTCTGAGCAGATTGTCTAGAAAATGTGGGAGCTTCAATGTCTCACAACCCTATGGGCCTCCATGGCCTATTACAGAGATAACTTTTTTTTTATTTTGTACAACATTATGGAGACAGAAGTCTGACTCCACCCTTCAGCCTATTTGTTCGATGGAACTAATCCATACTTCTGGAGAACGTGACTAGCCCAATTGAGTAGGTTTCTTACCTTAGGATGGAGACAGGGTCAGCGCTCCAAAACAGTATCCCCAAAATTATGACATTGGATAATGATCAGAAAATTGATCATTGTATTAATATACCACCATTGTGAACATTTACGTTTTTATTTATATAGATTTATTTACAATATGTTTTCTCCCAAATTCAGTACTCATTTTTACTTACACAAACAGATATCACATCAATCTGTCATCCGTTCCTGGTACATCTATGTCGTCTGTCTAAAACATTGCTTGGAGTAGGCGATGGAATGACCGAATGAATATACATAAACTACAAATAGTAATATGAATTCCATCCGCACATCCTGCAATACGAGGGGCGTTCAAGTTCTAAGGTCTCCGATTTTTTTTCTCAGGACTGGGCGCAGATAGACACATGCGGTTTAGTTTAAAATATGCGTGCGCTCTTTGTGAATGCGTGACAGAGATGGCAGCACTGTACGGCACACAGAACTCTAGTGGTGGCGGTGAGAATGAGGAGTGTTTTTGATACCTAAAATTGCGACGTTTTCGTTACAAGAACAGCGAGTAATCATTCGTTTTCTCCACTTGCGTGGTGCGACACCCATTGAAATTCATCGCCAGTTGAGTGAGACACGTGGTGATGGTGTCATGAATGTGAAAAATGTGCGTTCATGGATGCGACAGCTCAAAGAAGGCCAAACGTCGTGTGGCAACGAACCAAAACAATCTCGGCCTTGCACCAGCTGGTCTGACAACATGGTGAGCGAGTTGAGAAAGTTGTTTTGGAGGATCGCCGATTGAGTGTGGAAAACATCGCCTCCAAAGTTGGCATTTCCGTGGGATCTTTGCACATAATCCTGCATGAAGACCAGCGAATGTGGAAAGTGTCCTCCAGGTGGGTGCCACGAATGCTGGCAGACGACCACAAGGCTGCGCGCATGGCAATTTGCCAGGCGATGTTGACATGTGATGAAGGCATGAATGGGACTTTCTTTTCATCAAATGTGACAATGGATGAGACGTGGATTCCGTTTTTCGATCCTGAAACCAAGCGCCAGTCAGCTCAATGGAAGCACACAGACTCACTGCCATCCAAAAAATTTCGGGTAAGCGCCAGTGCTGAAAAAATGATGGTGGCCATGTTTTGGGACAACGATGGCGTAATCCTTACTCATAGCGTTCCAAAGGGCACTATGGTGACAGGTGCATCCTACCAAGATATTTTGAAGAACAGGCTCCTTCCAGCACTACAAGAAAAATGGCTGGAAAAGGCTGCACGTGTGCTCTTTCGCCAGGACAATGCACCAGCGCATCGGACGTACGCGACACAGCAGTTTCTTCGTGAAAACAACCTTGAAGTGGTTTCTTATGCTCCCTACTCACCTGACCTGGCTCATAGCGATTTTTGGCTTTTCCCAACGATGAAAGACACTCTCCATGGTCACACATTCACCAGTCGTGCCTCTGTTGCATCAGCGATTTTCCAGTGGTCAGAACAGACTCCTACAGAAGCGTTCGCTGCGGCCATGGAATCATGGCATCGATGTTTTGAAAAATGTGCACGGCTGCAGGGAGATTACGTTGAAAATTGACAGAAGTTTCAAATTTTTTGTATGATTATTGTGTGAGAAAAAAAATCGGAGACCTTAGAACTTGAACGCACAACGTATTTGGGCACTGACAGACTTGAGAGCATGTCAGATTCAGGTTTTAAGTTCATTTAATGAAGCAGGCATTGACAGCATACACTTGGTCCTTAATGTGCCTTGAAAAGAAAAAAATCAAAGGCTATCAGGTCTGGTGACCTTGGGGGTCAATCCTGTGATCCACCGTGTCTTATTTATTTTAATGCAAGGTGCTATCCAGAAAATGTGGTAAATTGAATTCACAGTTTACCTATTGTTTTGACTTCTGTGGACTCCTAACAAAGAATTAACTCATTTGCAGAAGGTCAGGTGAACCTTTCCCATTATGAAAATAACTTTTTTCTCAGAACTGTGTGCACTCTGTGTAACTGGATGCTTTAGAAAGTAGATGTAATCCTTTTGATAGCTTTGTTGGACTCATTACATAATTTGGCTTCATTAAAACACATTTTCTTGACTTTAATGCCCCTGGCAGAAAATCATTGCAACTTCATGTGGTTGATTTGATTCAGAACTTCGACAGTTGTAACTTATTGCCTGATTGTTCACATGTATCATTTTGCCTGGTTTTGCTTTATATTTAATTTCTGAAATGGTGAAGATCATTTATGCTCATCCTGTAATAATAATGAATGTTACAGTCAGTGACCTAGTTCAGGGATCTGAAACAAATTAGCTGTAGCTACACTTCTTCATATTGGGTGTTGCATTATGTTTGCTGAATTGCTTTTACAGACGAAGAGCGAGCCGGACTTTTCGAGAGGAAGAATTTTAAACAAAATGAAAAAAATGTACACATAAAGAAAAACTCCCTCCTATCTGAACAGCTGGAGAAGTGTCCAAATTTACCACAGAATCCATTTGTGGAGTATGCAAAATATGATGGGAATGTAAGAAAAATATATTTGTGTACTTTATAAAGTGGTTTAAATTGCCATTACTTGTTTTCATTTATGTGTTTTGGTGGTAATGATTTCACACCTCAGATTCCGGAAGATTTTCCATTAAATATGTCAGAATGATTAATTAAGAATCTTCTTGTTCATTGTACTGTCTGTGTGGCTTATTTTACAACAACTTCAGTGGCAATAGAGTACAGTGTTCAATGATATGTTGATAAGCCAAATAATGAATTAAGAGGGATTTCCAAGTAAGTGGTTGTGGCCTAATTCAGGTACCATTGTGGCATGTGCCTGGAGTAGCCTGACATTATCTTCAGGTATAGTGCTCTGTGTAGGACTAAAGATGCTGATAATGTTGCTCCAAAACATTGGTAGTTATTTTAGCTATTGTTAGAACCTGGGACAGTAGGTTCCTGCAGACTGGTAAGTGTTTTTATTCCTTGACAGGATGCTGTCCCAGAATACAACGCAAATAGTGATCTCCATGAAAATCCCGAATTTAGGTTTGCTGGGGTAGTGTCAACTTGAATTCCATAACAGTGTGATTCTCAAGTTGTGCTTTGCAGTACTCTACCAAAATAGGAATTTATGCAGAAAGATAGCATTTACCATAGACGTCTTCATTTAAATTTTATTTTGTTTGTATTATCACATATTTAGGGGTGTGACTATAGATGGGTTTTTGATTGATGACCGGATTTATTGCACACTTATACAACTTGTTTCTACATTTCATGACTCACTATACTCGTATGAGACACTGTCTTCTCAGTCTGTTACAGTCTTCATTAGCTGTTGCTTGGTAACTGATGTTAACAATGGCTGTTCCTCTGATTCAGTGCTCAAGTCCTGTACAGAACTCCTGTCAGCTGTTAACTGAACTGGATTGAGTCTGAGTCTTTTGTTATGACCGATGGTCAGTCGGCCAGTACATCTTGGAATAAAGTACATCTGGGGCTTATGACCAGATTTTTACTGCTGTCAGACAGTTACAGGTTTGTTGATTTGGGTCACACTCTCTGACGAGAGGGAGGGTCTGTTGTTTACAATTGCTGCTGGTGCTTGCCAGTGTAGTCATTCTCAGGTCTTAGTCCCATGGGACTCGCAACCATATTTTACTGTCTCAGATTGGAGACTTCACTTTTTGTTGCCTTGTATGACTCTCAGGGATATGGTGGAGGTATTCGACCCTGCCTCCACACGGGAGTGAACCAGATTGCCCCAGTTGTCTTCTTTTTAACTCCTCAGCATGGATAACATAGAAAACACCTGTTTCAATCATAATTGTATTATTGTGTGTCTTGTTTCTGTGGGATCATGTTTACTTTGCTGTTGCTCAGAAACACGTCTGATATCTCATTTGTTTTGAGGTGTTTACCAAGAGCAGGTCTGTAACCCACAGTACATAATCAAATTGTTTGCTAACATAATTGACTGAACATTGTAAACTCTCATCAGATTGAATTCAGTTTCAGGTGAATAATTTGGATGCTTTAATTTCAGTGGCACATTTATTTCAGATCGTGATGTAAATGAGTATTTATCATATGTAATAATACAAATACCGTTGTGAATGCAACAATTTATTTGGTTATAGTTCTTTGTCTTTTCTTCCTGTACACTACATATTTCGGCCGTAACTGGCCATCATCAGGTGTATTTTTGACTATGTAGCTGTCACACTGCACACAGTCCAAAATCTGAAACATCAGCCTGTCAGTTTTGTTTAAAATCTCTCCAACACACACTCGTCAATTTGATTTTAGAATTCCAGTTTAAAATTTAAAATTTTTAAAATTCAAAATTTAAAGTTTTAAATCACAGGGATACCTGCTCCGTGTCTACATTTGCTGCGGCGGCTATTTCTTGTTTTCAGCACCGTTCATGTACAAAGGGGGACCCAAAAATAACCGGAAACGACCTGTTGCGCGTGCATGCTTTGTAGTTACGAGTTGTGCTGCTAGGTGGTATTAGCTGGGGGTCTCCCGCGACTGTTAGTGAGCTGGCATCAGTCTGAGTTAAGTGGTTTGTCTGTGGTGCTCTGTTGTGTGCATTCCTGTTTCAACCCTTTGGCGATTAGTGAGATGGCCGACCAGAAGGAACAAAGAGTGTGCATGAAATTTTGATTTCTGTTAGGGAAAACTNTTGTTCCTTCTGGTCGGCCATCTCACTAATCGCCAAAGGGTTGAAACAGGAACGCACACAACAGAGCACCACAGACAAACCACTTAACTCAGACTGATGCCAGCTCACTAACAGTCGCGGGAGACCCCCAGCTAACACCACCTAGCAGCACAACTTGTAACTACAAAGCATGCGTGCGCAACAGGTCGTTTCCGGTTATTTTTGGGTCCCCCCTTGTATTATCTGTAATACACAAGTATTCATATTACTATCTTATGTTCTTATGTCATTCTTGTATGTTTTATACTGTTGTGTGTACTTACTCTGTTCAGGCTCCATGTGTGTGTGTCGCTGCTCATCTTTAATACGTTACTGTCTGGTGTGTTGTGTGCTGTGTTTTTATGTTGTTGAGTGTAGGAGAGTAAGGGGTAGTGGAGAATGGGGGATAACGTTAGTCTGTATAGATCTCATATATTGTTTGAAATATGGGATTATATGTTTCTATGGTGTGTCATTCATGTGTAGGCCTTTCTTACTTACTTTGTATATATGGTATTTCTCTAGTGTATTCACATGTCTACCCTTCTTTCCAATTGTTACAACTTCCATTACGTCTGTTATTGTTCTGTATGATGTCCCGTATTTAGTATGTGATTTGAGTATCAGGCATTGCTATTATTATTTCTAATATTATGTATGTGTTCCTTATATCTGGTGTTAAATGTTAGGCCTGTTTGTCCAATGTACTTCAGTGGGCAATCTGCACATTTCATCTGGTATATGCCACTTTTATTGTATTTATCCAATTGTGGTTTATGTTTGAGTATGTTTTCAGTTGTGTTCCGTGTGCGAAATGCTACTTTTATCCGTGTGTCTTTGAAAAGTTTCGTGATTTTCCATACTTCTTTTGTACTATGTGTAAATATGGCCCATTTTGTTTTTTTGGTGTTGTTCGTTGTCATGTGTGTTTGGTTTCTGTTTTCGTCTTGTCTGATTTGATCTGTTAATTACATTTGTGTCGTATCCGTTGTTATGTAGTATGTTTTTAATGGTGTTCTTCTCTATCTGTTTTTCTTTTTCTGTTATTGGGTATGTGTAGAGTCAGTTTATTAGATAATTAATACCTGACAATTTGTGCTCGAATGGATGGCACGAACTGTTAGGTATTATGATGTCTGTTTGTGTTGGTTTTCTATATATTGCAAATTGCAACCTATCTTCCTTACGATATATTGTTATATCTAGAACATTAATAGATTCTTGTTCTTTCTCAATGGGGAAGTTTATAGTTGGTTGCAATTCGTTAATTTCATTTGAGAGTATATTCTGTGTTTGTTATCGTTTCATCATATATTATTAATATGTCATCGACATATCTAAAGTAAGCCACTATTTGTTGTTTTACTAGAATGGGATATATTTGTATATGTTCCATATATTGTATATATGTTTCTGCTATTATTGCTGATGTTGGGGCTCCCATAGCTAGTCCATCTGTTTGTTTGTAGTATTCTTGGTTAATTTGGAAATAATTTTGTTCGAATACTGTTTTTAATTTATGCAATATTTCCTTGTGGCTTTCTGTATCTATTTCTTGGTCTTTTTCTAATATAGAGTTTATTATATTGTAACGTGTTTAGTTACTGAAGACGCCGTTCAGTTGTTAATTGGTTTATTTCACAACCTACAAGTCATAATTACACAGTGGTGACGTAACATGGGAAACGCCTCGCTTCCTTGTTGCCTAGTCACCGTGTTTGCCGATAGCCTAGCAACACTGTTGGGAGTTGTTTACAGCTACGTAGCAACTGCGGTGTCCTGTGTTACGTTACTGCTGTTTACTCGCTTTGCCTAGCAGCCGCTGTGCTTGGACTCGGCTCACTTCGGCTCTGCTCGGCACGTGACCGCCGGTGGGGAGGGAAGGGCGTCCTCCATAGCGCAACACGTCACACTATCTATGGTATTTGTTTCCGGTATGTTTGTGTATATGTTCTCTATGTCAAAGGAACATAGTCGCATATTGTCATTAAGTTTAATAGTATGTAAATCTGTCACTAAGTGGGAGGAGTTTTGGACATAGAATGTGTTTGGTAATTGTAGATGACTATGCAATACTTTTGCTAATTTTCTTGCTATTTCATAAGCTGGGGCGTTCTTCCAGTTTATTATTGGCCTAATGTGTGTGTTAGGTTTATGTAATTTTATTGTGGCGTGTAGTCTTGGGGCTGTAGGATTCATGTTTATGTATTTCCATTTATTACTTTGTATAATATTATTACACTGTTTGAGTGTTTGTTTTACTGCCCTTTGGTATTGTTGGGTTGGATTTTTATCAATTTCTGTAAATTGGTTATTGTGTATGGAGTTATTTATTTTCTGTTTATATTCTTCTTGTGTTAGTATTACTAGTGTTTTTCCTTTATCTGCTTTTGTTATAATGAGTTTATGCTCTTTAATTTTATTTTTTATATTCAATATTTGTTTCCATTCTCTTATCTTTGTTATCTTTCTTATTTTTATTCCTTTCATTATTATTCTTGTGTATATCTTTTAATTTCATCACAATTAGATGTCTAAAATCATTTTTTTCCTGTTATTTCTAGGTTACTTATTGCTGTTTTTGCTTCTAGGGCTAATGTTTCGATCCATTTTTCATTCTTATGATGTAGATTATATTTGAAACCTTTACTTAGTATTTGGGCTTTTTCATGTGTAAATTGTTTATTTGTTTGATTCTCTACTCTCGTGTATTGTATGTTGTTGCTTGTTATATCTATATTTTGGGTTTTCATCATATTGTTTATTTTTTTTGTTGTTTTTGATATGTTTTTCTCTATCTTGTTGTAACTTGAAGGAACATGGAA